ATGTCTTTTGACATCTTTTCATTCATGTTACAAGGACAAGAACCATACATAACTTCAAAGTTAGGTCCTTCAAGTTTAAAACACATTCAAGTTGCCCACTACACTTTTAAATTATCCAACAATAAATACAACTAATTTAGTCAATTCTTGCATCTTATATGCATGGCTAAATCATTAAGTTTGTTTGGTTTTAATTTCATATAAAAAATAGTAACTTTTTTAGTAAATATATTGTGCAATATATTAAATCAAAGTACATTTCAATTACTGTCCTTACAAAAATGCAACTCAAATTATTATACAGCTTTGATCATGCTTAGGGAGGTTCGTTATAACATACAAAGAAATTCCTAATCAAATCTCATAGAAAAAGAAAATGCATTCAGTGTTCAATGAATTTATGATGCATTTGTGGTCCGTTAGTCTTTACAATGAGGGTATTGTTTGCGTGCATGCATGCAGGGATGGATCCAAGAAATTCGGTAAGGGGGGGGAGGGGGTTGAAATTTATTGTTAAAGATTTGAGTCTTTAAGAATATCTTTTATGACACTAATTTGTTTTCTTTAAACTTTTTCTCCTATAAAAAGATTTACTTGTAATCTTTTTTATTGATATATTTTTAACAAAAATTAAAAATAAATGTATTTTTAATTATAATAAAAATAGAAATATCATAGTAATAAACTATAAAATGATCAATTGAAAAATGAATTAAAAAAAGAGAAATGTGTTTATTAACCGAATCTTTAACAAATTATAAGGAAAAACATCACAAAATTAAATCATTTCAATAAACTTACGTTTAAAAAGATAAAAATAACATATTTTTAAAGTAGGAATGAGTGTTTTGATTTTATTAAAACAATATAGTTTTAGAGTATTTTTCTTTTAATTTTTTTGGAAATCGTATTAATAAACACTAATATTATAAAAAAAAAACTAAAATATTTCTTTTAGAAAGTAAACTCTAATTTAAATTGATTTAATCAAAAAAATTATAAATTCAATCATGAAAGGTAAAAATGTATTTGGATCCCAAAAGGAAAAAACTTTAAATTATTATATAAAATATTAAGAAAATAAATAAAAGAATATTAAAGAAAACAGTAAATGTAAAGTTGTTTAAATAGATAATCAAAGTTTTTTGTTTTGGGTTTAATAAATAAGAAAATGTTTAAGAACCCTAATTTTTAATTAATTAATTGACATAAATTCATTTTACTTGAATTATATCCTTATTTTTTTTGAAAACATTTTATTTACATCCTAAATATTTTCTCTACATTTGAAATAGTCCTTGAAATTTATACCATAAAATAAAATTTTTAACAAATAAAAATTAGAGTACCATATTAAATGTTTTTCAAAAGCTTAGGTGGGGCGGCTGCCCCCCTTTTTCCTTCATTGGCTGCGTCCCTGCATGCATGTGGGAATCTCATTGTTGCAGAAGTGGCTTTCTCAAGCATTCTAAGAATTTTATTCCTCTTGCATATCAATTAGGATAATAACTAAACTACCTTTTGATTCGACGCACTAGCAACATCCACGGTTCAACTATTAAAAACTAAAATTTTTAGTTTTTTTGCCTCTAATTGAAATTTAAAAAAAATAAAATTTTAATGAGTATATTGTTAGATATGTTGAATAAAAGAGTGTATCACTTATTTTCCTATCAATTAACATCAAAGAGAGGATACTTTATCTCTAGATATACATATTGCATAGACTACCATGTGCAATTTTTGAGGGAGTTTTGGAAGATCAAGTTTCAAACCTATTAATTATTCCACATTAAAACCTTTGCGTACCTAATGTTTGAGGAAAAGGGTTTGCTTCCATCTTTTTAGAGGGAATAAACAATAAAATAAGGTTAAATACCCTTTTTGGTCCCTTGACTAGGGAAAAAACTCTTTTTTGATCCTTATACTAAAAAAATCCCCTTTTTGGTCCTTAAAGTTTAAAATATGGACTCTTTTTTATCCCTTTATTAATTTTTGCTCCATTAATATTTTGATGAAATAGCTATTTTCCAGACCAAAAAATTGGTCTGAGAAAATTGGAATTTGGTTTGAATTTAAATATTTAGGCTGTTATTGATCCGGAATGTTGGTCTGAAAAAACATGGTCTGAATAAAAATAATTTCATACCAACAAAATTTTGATCTGAATAAACATAATTTTCAGACCAGCTTTGGTCTGTGTAATGGCCAACATTTGGACCAGATGTAACCGTACTTCATATCAAAATTGGTCAAATATAAAATATATTCAGACCGTTATTGGTCTAAATATTTAAAATCATTTTAGACCAAAAACGGTTCGAACCATACTTACCTTGCATAGAAAAATAAAAAAAATTAGTCCTTTATGTGTCAGTATGTAGAAACTATTTCCAAACCAATATTGGTCTAAAAATATGCAAGCTTGTTTAGAAAAATGAAAAAATTTGGTCCTTCTGTGTCAATACCATGAAACTATTTTTAGACCAATATTGATCTGAAATGTTAAGGCTTATTTAAAAAAACAAAAAAGTTCAGTCCTTCGGTGTCCTTATGCAGAAACTAATTTCAGACCAATATTGGTCCAAAATATAACTGCACCAGTAAAAAAAAAAAGAGTATATTATATATTGTATGTCTAAATAATTCCAAAAAATATATTTATTTTATATACAAATATTTACATATTATAAAAACTAAAAATAATATATGATATAATAATTATTAACTTAAAAATAAAATTTACAATATAAACGAAAATAAAAGTAAAAACATCCTATAAAAATTGAAATATAATTGCTAAAATATAGTCTCAATGAAAATTAATAAAATCTATAATATAAAACAAATACTCTAACCTATTTTTATATCTTATAAATTTAATCATTTCCTACAAAAATAAATGAAATTCAATTAGTAAGATAAAATAAAAACAGAAAAAGCATTAAAAGATAACAAATATATATGTATAAAAGCAAAGTTTAAGAGACTTACCAACTTTTCATAATAACGTACAAAAAAAAAAAGTTAGCAAAACAGGGGAAAATAAAACTAAATACAACTTTTATCACAAATTATCAAAACAAAAACAAAATGTAAAATTAT